CCTACTTTTTATTTTCTAAATTCCGTATGAATCCTATGACCCTTGCATGCCTCCCCTTTTTCCTAAAATCCATTAAAAACCCAAAACATCCCCTCACCCCTCCCATGTTGCATGATTTTTCCAATTCCTCACAAAAAGCCCACTTTTTGCAGGCATTCCTTCCCTTCTTTCAATTCACTGCCCTCTTCCAGATAAGCCTAGTGATGACGCCACCCTTTCCGTGTTTGCCAGAAATTCGGGCGCGGCCAAAACAACGATTTCCTTGAATGATTTGTCAGCCTGGCGCCTAGCTATCGAAACATAACAAAACGGGTTGTGTTTTAAAAATCAGATATTATGTTATTTTTTGAGGTGAATCCACCGGGGTGGGGGTGGGGGTGGCGGGCGGAGGACGGCTATTGTTGGGGAGTGGTTTAGATCGATTGTTGATCAGGAGGGAATTTTTGCCCGTTCGTTCTCTCTCTCTCTCTCTCTCTCTCTCTCTCTCTCTCTCTCTCTCTCCCTCTCTCTCTATCTCTCTCTCTCTTCTCCTGCCTATCGAAAAACATTTCCCAGACAGATTCTTGGAAAATGTTTATTTCTGGGGTTTTGTCCTCGCCCTGGCTACATATTCCTAATAACCTAGAATATGCAATGAGGTAGGGGAGGATGTGGGATTTTTCACAGAACGAGGGGTATCTTTTGCTTTGAATGCCTCAACGACCTTGTTTTATTAGGCTACGATACGCAATTTATTAAAGGGATTGGCAAGGCTCAGGTTTTAGCGCCCACGCAACACGCAACGCACACGCTTCTCGCAAAAATTTTGCAATACGTTACGCGATAAGAAGGCTAGCTCACGATTTGCGTTCGTGACAAAATCGATACCTGTAGATTTCTTATTACTGGGGTTTAGTGCAAAATACCGTCCTCGTGCTACAATGCACCGCTAATGATGCAACATTACGCGATGCAAAGCAGAGCTCATGCGTCGCGTGCACGTGTGACAAAATCCATAGGATTCCCTTGCCCAACCCTTGAAAGGTCTGCGCAAGGCAAATTCTGATGGATTCGATGTGTCAAGTAACTTTGTTATTACCCATACATAGTGCAAAATAACCCTCTCAAACTACAACCCACTCCTAATTCCATATCCTCCCCTAAGCCCTTCCATATCACCATCGAGCAGATTTATCTGTTCAAGGCCACAGGAAGCGTTCCGTCATCGGTCTTTTGTCACACCCCCTCGGGCTTGATCCCCCCTAAGGCACCGGTCCTTCCCCTCCATTCGATTGCATCAGGTTGTCGGCGTTTTTTTGGCACTGCGCGCGCGGCTTGAGCTCGCACTCCTTCCCACGTTCCAGCCGTTGATTCTCACTTATCGGTCTTTTTAAAGGCGTTGAGAAGGAATGACTATGTACCTGTTGGGTCTAGACTTTGATCTCCTTGATATCTTCGTAAAATGTCGTGGTGTTTGTACGGTCTTTGGCGTGCTAGCCCGGACCCCCCCGGACCTTGTTTTCCCCTTTAAAAATCGCCGTACCATCAAAAGAGACCCATTCCTCCCCCAATTTATACCAACGCCTCGAATAACAGGTTTTTCTGATGCTTTTTTTGCCGTGGTGCCTAGCTGGAATCGAAGGGGCTACCCGAGGCCAGGAGGACAAGAAAAATGGGCCTGAGCCGGTTTCAGCCTTCCTCGTTTCAGCCCCCCCCTCGCAGCCCAGGTCAAAAGCGAGTAAACAAGCAGCTGCTCGCCCTCTCTGCTTTGTTCTACTCTCTTGCTCCTCCTCATCCTCCTGTTTTATTGCCCTCCCCCAATATTGCCACGCCATCGTAGTAGTATCGTTGATGATCCGTAACAAAACCTGTTGATCCCTTTTGAAAATCCTAATTTAAAAAATTGGTCCACGCTATGGCAGGGCCTGTTTCCTAAAGCGTGGATATGTCCGCCCTGGGGGAAAAGGCCCGGTCCTATCCCGATGCCATCGTGCTCTTGGCTCATTGGTTTTGCGTTTGCCTGCCGCGCACCAGACCCAGGCTCAATCCCCGCCCTTGAAATCCTTTTTTGATTTTTCATCAAACGCAGACGGTTTCTGTAAAGTACCGTTTCCGGCTCGTTTTTCGTTGCACCCACCGCAAAACACGGCTGCCTTGCCCCGCTTTGCACTTTCCAAATTCTTTTTCCCAGACACGTACCACCTCCACCGACTGCCCAATTCCTGCGCGGAGCGGTGCTCAACCTCCTATTTTTTTGGTCTTTTCGCCCGTTGGTCCCGGTTCACCCCGGGCGGTCCGACTGAAAGTGCAAAAATGGGAGCGTCTCGCTGTGTGTGGTCATTGTTTCGGAGGGACAATATTCGTCAATTATTCCGAAGGCCCTAGCCTCTCTTTGAGGTGTTTTTCAAGAAAGCCGCCCCCTCTTGAAAATGACCGCATATTGGATGTTGTTTGTTGATTCCTTGGCATTATCGGGGGGGGGCACTTTTTTAAGAATCCAATTTTTCCTTATATAAATAGAGGACGTTTTCAATATGAAAAACGTAAAAACCGAAAAATTTCTTTTGAAAAAAGACAAAAATATTAAGTGTACGACAAAATGCCGATTTTCTACAAAAGACGGCTATTTCTAAGCTTCTTAATAATTTTTTCACTTGAAACATAGTCAAATTACTAAAAACGCTGCTCAAACTTCCTATTAGTTTACGAGGCACTTTCGAATTATGGGATAAAATCTACGTCCCCCGTTAATGCCAAAGAACTTGTTTGTCTCAAACCAGACATCGCGTCATTAAACGTAGTAGATTTCATTTATTTCCGTTGTACCAGAGGCCCCGTGCATCTGATTTCCGGCCCCCTGCCCCGCGTGAAACTTCCGGCGTATCGGTTATGGCCCGACGAAAACAGAATGGCAACGCTCAGGGCATACTGTAGCAGGCGGAACCGTTCCGGATATTGGAAACGTGGGAGAAGGGGATGCTGAATATGGAACAGAACCGATCGCCCTGTTTTCCAGCCCCCCACCACCACTATAGCCCTTTTGTTTTGGACGTTCGGGATTTATAGTTTTTGGTTTTGAAACTATTTCTATACACGAGAGATCGCAAATTTCATCATCGAAATATTTACAATATTACCCAATATTACCACCCTGTCAAAATCTCGAGACATTTGATGTTTTCCGAAAATCCCCCACTAACGATGCACGTGACGCATTGAAAATCCGGGAGGGAAGCCCTATAGGATCAGGCATGATCCGGGGGTGAGCTTGTCCGGGGGGCACAATGAAAACAAGTCGAAACTGGGCCTCACCCCTACGCCCTCAGCCAGCCGGATTAGACGGAGGGGGGAGGGGGGGGGAATCCTGTTTGGATGTAAGATGTGATATTGGGGCTGGATGAAGCTGAGTCAGATGTCTAGACTTGAATTTATATATTATTTAGCATTAAAATTATATTAAATATTGTTTAGCTTGTGAGGTTTTTGCAGGATCGTTTTCTGTTGCTCTCTCTCCCTCACTCGCTCTCTCTATCTTTCACGCTAGGTAGCTCTGTCTCTCGCCCTCTCTCGTTCTCTCTTTCTCTCTCATTCTCTCTCTCTCTCTCGCTCTCTCCCTCGTGCAGGGGAGCTTAATGTGGCGATCTAAGACCCAAAACTGTCAAAATTATTTTTAAGGCGTAAGTTAGAGCCCTATATTGTTACGATAGCACCCATTTACGTATCTCTTTCGCTCTCTCTCTCTCTCTCTGTCTCTCTCTTTCTCTCTCTCCCTCTCTCTCTCTCTGTCCCTCGCGCTCCCTCGCAGTTTCTCCTCCTCTCTGTCACTCTTTCTCGCGCTTGCTGTCTTACGATCTGTCTGTCTCTCTCTGTGTCTCGCTCTTTCCCTCTCTCCTTCTCTCTCGCTCTCTCTCTTTCTCGCTCTCTACGACTTAAATTTAAATTCAATACCTCCTCCCGATTCAAATTTCAATTTGACCTTGATCTACCTCCATCTACTTAACTTCCCACTCCAGCCTTACTATCTCCCTGAACATCTTGGAAGTGGAACATAACAATGACTAACCATGTTTTCCCCATCCCACCTTCCCTCCACCTCCACTTTTTGATCTAATCTCCCCCTTTAAAAGTTTGACGTCCCATCTCTGTCACCAATATCTTCCAATGTTTTTCCCCCATCCAATTCATGACATTATGCCATTTTGGCTCGACTCTTGTGGCCGCTCGCCCTCCCCTTCCCCTTCTCAACCGGATGTTATATTCTGTTTGCCCAGCGGGCCTTAAATTAATTTGGCCCCGCGCTCCCCGGGTTGCGACCCCCCACCCCTCCTGGCCTGAAAACTGTACAACTCTGGATTCCGTTTTTTACGCCCCCGACCTCGATATTTATTTAGCTAACAGGTCTCCTATTTTTCCGCTTCTTCCTCCTAAACCTCGAATTTTTCGTCAACAACATAACCTCCCGATTTTTCAGACCCACCTCATTACATGGATTGGACGCTACGCCTCATATCTACGTGTAAGTTTTTTTGTGGATACTGAGGTTTTGGTACTGGACTGTTAACGGGGGGATTGTCAGGCGAAATCAATAGGATTTATGGTTTCTCCGCTTAATACTTGTTGAAAAAAATGGCTTTTCATAAGCTTTTTATATCTAAAACTTTCTGTAATGTTATAAAAATGGTTTCCATTTTTTCTACGGCCCTACCGGAAAACCTAGAAAAATTTGGTTTCACCCCCCGCTAACAGCCCAGTACCGAGGCTTTTATATTTTTGTTCGAACCGCCCTGAAAAGGATGGCAAGTGCCGCATAAAAATGGCCGTTCAAAGGTCGTGCCGCCCGCAGCTCTGGTAAACAAGGGGTGGGGGAGGAGGAGAAAGGGGGAGATAGCGCTCAGAAAAGCGCATGTTCTGCCAATGCAGGGCATGCTTTTTGGCATTCAGCTTCAATAATAGTTTTATACTATACTTTTATACCTTATTCACTATAAGATAATAATTTTATAGATTATTTTGACTTTAGAATGCCAACCGGAAGTCTCGAAGAGGACCCGGGCGTGTTAAAAAGCGGTGTCATCACCGCGCTATGGCCACCATCGGTACGTTTTTTGGGTTAGAGTTTAATCCAAGGGTTCAGAAATCCAAAAAGAGCTACTACGCCGTACTCGTCGAGCGGGCCCTCGAGCTGCACGAGAGCGAGAAGAACTACCGGCACAAGAAGAAGGCCGCCAAGCACACGATTGATCTCTCTGTGGCGTTTAATGTGCATACAGATCATGTAAGTGTTACTAAAAATATATAGCTTTTTTATTCATTCAAAATTAGTTTTTTAATGACTATAATATGGATTTTTTGAAAATTTTGACACCGTAACCTAGAAAAGTTCTAAAAGCCTAAAAAAAGCCATAAAAATTTTTTAATGTTTAGAAAATTGAAAACAAAATTTTTTACAGGAAAACAGGTTTTAAACCATAATCTGCAATTAGTATAATTTCGTAAACCACCACCATCTGAACTTTGACGCGCCGTCACCATTGTTTTCAAAACCATAAGCCCCCCAACCCGGTTTCAGTTCGACCCAAAATTGAAGCGATGCATGAGTCTGACAGGTCCCGACGACACCCTGCTGATAAAGGTTGTTTTCCGCGAATTTCCGCCAATACGGTGATTCTCTAGGCAGAGAACGACCAGGCGACTGATGAGTGGTATTCTGCACTCCTCGATGCAACCATCCCGGCGAGGGCCACACGGCTGGGTCGTCCGGTTCAGGCTTTGGAATTTTTCGGTATGCAAAAATTGAGGTAGCTGACGTGTAAAAAATTCTAGAATATGTTTGGGACGTCGAAGTGGTCGCTCAACCGAAATTCAAGAAACCATTGAAGCCGGAAGAACGGAATATTTGTGAAAAGACACCTGGACTGGCCGGGCCGAAACGGTAGAGAAATTAATTAATTATAATATTTATTAAGTTCTTGTAAATTATTGGCACGAAATTACTGTATTTAAACGATATTAAAGTTCTTAATTTAGTCTGTGCTTCTACGCACATACGATAATCCTCTGCAAACGACGCATCGAACCTGCCACTCATAATTTGCCAAACTCTTGTGTTCCACCATTTTCCATGGACGATTTTTTGGAACTTTCGGTAAGTAAGGTCTTTAAATTAATAATGCTTTCGAAAACTCAAAACATACGATAATTTTAGCGACAATACATCGCTACCTTCGGATGCCACGAAAAATTCTTCATGATCAAAATGGGACGCGGGAGCACGATGGGTGCGTGTGAACTTTGGGCACAATGTGAGAGTGAAGAAGTGGGTTTTCAACTTTTATTGCTCCTCTTTAAACATATAAGTAAAACAATACTAATATTTAGTTTTTTAGGTTGCCCGAGACATCTACGCCAAACTCAACTGCATCATCGAACGTGAAGCCGAGAAAAAGAAGAAGCTCGGCAACGGGTAAGTCAACCCGGGTCCTCAAAAATAATCCACCGCCCCCATTTAGCGATGCCACCGATCTGAATGGGTAATTCAGCATTTGATATATTGGTGTCGTGGTTGTAAGCTGCTCTGTAACTGTCAGTAGTACAGTTCTCTGCAAGGCGCGTCAGCAAATCGCTAGATAGATATATTTCTGCAAATTGCAAAATTTCGGAATGTTTTTACAGCGCGGGGATGGGAATTTGCATGTAAAGTTTCCATCTTGCAATCAGAAAAATTATAGTAAATTTCAACTAACCCAATTTCCACCAATAATTTCAGCCCGGTCATCCAGCAACTACCCTTCCAATCATCTCGTCACTACCGAGACCGCCTCAACACCGAGCCGAACAAGCCGAAGACCAGCGGCAGCTTTTCCAGCACATACCGGGACAGGTTAGTGTTTTATAAATATGCAACATAGCAACTTTGAAACCCCAATTTTTCCCGATTTCTTGGTTTCGGTTTATTTAAAGGCCTTGCTTGTTGCTTGCTAAAAATATAGGAAAAAATGTGTGCCGTGCTTGAGACCTTTATGCCAAGAATTTCCCTAATTACCGATGGATATCCCAATTTGCATACAGGGCCTTAACCTAGCTTTAGTTCGTTTAGCGATAATCCGAACGCGCCGGTCTTCGCGAACACTTCGGCGTCGGCGCCATCTTCGGGCCGTTCGGGCAGGACTCGGATTGATTTATTCAAAGCGAGGGTCGACTCGTTTGAAGCGGACAAGCTGCCGATAGGTGTTAATCGGAGGGATTCTCGGCCGTCCGTCGGATCGCTGCATACTTCTGACCTAACAAGGTCTCGCCACGACATAGATACTAACCACCTTTGTTGAATTAACGCACGTTTGGGGATTTGGATTTGCATGATATGGAGATTTATTAAGGCAAATTTGCATGGACGCGGCGCCACACTCTGTATAAACACCTTTGATAAAACTTCTACTTTCTAAGCTATCGAGGGCATCAGAGATCATCGATTAATCTTGTAATTTTCAGGCGTGTCGGAAGCCCATCGTCCTTCAACGGCTCTATCGGCTCACGTAAACCATCGAATCCCGGATTTTACGATGGTGAGAAGCCGCGTCAAGCTTATGGATACGACAATCCGTTCGTCGCTCGTGCCGTTGGGGCCGGGCCTTCTGGACGAGGGATGGGAAGCTTTGGATCGATTCCGGGAGGGAAAGGACCATCGTGAGTTTAAATATACCTTATACTAGCCATAAATAGGTTTTTCATAAATTTATTCATCTTAAAAATAATTTTTTTTAGGTTTTTCTCGGCGTTAAAAACTTCGGCTACGATTCTTTAGTTTTTTTTTGGGTTTTACCGAATTTTACACAAGAATCTTCAAAAATTAAAGGCATTTCTTCTATTAGAAATTTTTTAGACGCCGACCATCGGAAGAAGTCAGCCGTAAAAACACGCCCCGAGATGGGAAACCAATCGGTCTCGAAGCACTCGTACGACTCCAGCCAACCTCTTCCCAATCAACCATGGAAGAAACTGAAGACAGGTCAGTTCCCCTGCTAATTTTTTAATTTTATAAATTTATGAAAATACCACAATCCCCCCAAATCACCACCAAATTTTTAGACGCTTGCAGCCGGCATTAACCCCACGGCGAGTTCCCCAAGCTTCTCGTTTCACAAGCGCTATCCTGGTTGCTATAAAGCACTCACCAAAAATCCAGCATTTGCTAAAACGATTTAAAAAATCCCCTAAAAATGCTTTATTTTTGGCCGGTGTTGTGTCTTGGCGTGACCCCTAAATATCCGACTTTCTCTACGTTTCTTTCTGGCATTAAGAGGGTTATTAAATAATATATTGTATATTTTAGTGGTGGTACGCTGAGATTGGAGACCGGAAGTACAAGAGACCCGGACACAATATCGAACAACAGCAAACGATCATTCGCCGTTGAGGCTATCATTGAGCGACGTCAACCGAGCACATCTGAAGATACCGGTAATAACTTAATAGTAGAATATTTACATATATATATTTTTTAGACATTGAGGGCACGTCAAGTTGTAGCAGTACAATGGGAGTGCAGCCGGCTGAAGATTACGCCCAAATGGAGGCAGCCGAATGGATGGTAGATGGAACAACATACCTAAAGCCTAAAGGTATTTAACCTAAAAAAATTATATAGAAATCTAAAAATCAGGATCTTTGGCATTATCGGGGGGTGGTATCGTAAAAATAGTCGATAAACCCTTAATCTATCTATACCATGAGAAGCGGATTAAACTAAAAACTTAGCCCCCCCCGATAATGCTCAAGCTCCAAAAACCATATTACACCCCTCTCTCCAGACCGTCAATTCCATTTGGATGAAGTTCGCAGCTACGTATCCGATAGTTCTGATAGCTGCTATTCCAGTATGGCCAACAACCCCGGGGCTACATTAAACAAGCCAGGCCACCAACCCCCGAGGTAAGTCCAAACGGCTTAAAGTTGGCTTGTACTGTGTCGAGAAATTACACGCAAACGGAATGTTTTACGTTGACCGGATCACATTGAAACCCTGGAAAGCACTTGCTTTTGCGGGAGACCCCCTGTCGTAAATGGTGCCACTTTCTGACCTCAGTTCGCTCTTCTACAAACTTTACTGGGTGAGGCTCCAGATGACCACTGTATCTTGGCTGCCTTTTACCGCACGGGAGTGTAAAGTATACCAAAATGTTCGTCTTAATTTGGCAAATATTTTGATATACTTTACAGCCCTTTAGGATGGAGGGTAGCCGAGATACAGTAGGTTGACGTCGACTGGGGAGGTCATCTGGAGCTCAGCCCCTTTCTGTCCCCCCAGAAAACCACCGCGTCGTGCCGGTGTTTGTGCCGGAACGGTTCTAATTTTAGCTTTCAGCTATGAACTCCTCTCACCCGGGCCGACTCTGGAAAATTTAGCCCACAGCCCAGGAGCTAGGTAGAGCATTTTCGAGTACTCCACTAACTACCCCACCTCGCTTTAAAACCCTCAAAAATTCCGTTATGCTACAGATGGGCTAGCGCTATATGTTTAGTTATAGGGCCTTTAGTTGGTAGAATGGACACAAAAATTACAAAATTTGAGACAAAAAGCCAATATTTAAATTTAGGGCCTACTCGTTCGGTGCCCGAACGGTCCCCCAAGCAGCCAAAGAACTCGGAGTATCAAGCGGTGGCCAAGTGACCTCTGCTGATTCTGGAGCTTCCCTCGAAAGTGCTTCAAAGGAGGCTCTCGCTCGTTCCGGCCTACTTGCTCCCCAGGACACTGCCGACCCACGCCAACGTGCCTTCTCCCTGGGCAGCAAGAATCTATTTATGTATGTCGACTATCGCTCCTCTCATCTATCATTTCCCTTATTTAGCCGGCCATTAAGGAAGCTCAGCCAGCATGCCAACCGCTCCACACGGCACTCACAGACCACGGCGTCTGGGGCGTCGCTGGCGAGCAGCAGCAATGCGAGCAGCACTGGGCAACCGACGGCGTCGAGCAGTACGCATCAGATCAGGTAGGAAACATCAGAAAATTTTAAGTACCATCGTGTTTTCAGCTACAGCAACATTTCGGCCGCAGAACCTGAAGGGCGGAACCGCTCTGGATCTTTTGGATCTGGGAGATCGACTCCTTTCAACAAGCGAGGAGGATCGGTCGGCGGATCTGGAGTTGTCGAACGTGGACCACAATCTCACGACCATTTGGTTGAGATTGATTTTGGAGGTGGAGTCGGATACACGGGCAGCGGATCTGTGCACAGCATCGACAGTCCTAGCCGGTAGGTTCTGGAAGACTGATCAAATCCATTTATTTCTTCAGATCCCGAGCTTCATCAATTGGTACCAAGAATGAAGTGCAGTCCCCAGCTCAACCACTACCGCCAGGACAAACTATCGTGACTGTACAGCAGCTACCCGCAACACCCCAGCAAACGGCTCTTCCCCCACTTCCGGAGCCCGTCAAAGAATCGCCAGAGTCGAAGCTGTCCCCTGAACCGCAGAGCCCGAAACGTGAAGAAGCACCTCCGCTTGAAGAACGTGCTTCGAAGCAACAAGTACCACCTGCTTTGCCGCCAAAAACGAATCTACCTACTCGTAATGCCAGCAAGAGCCATCATGAGCTGAAAGTGCGACAGGGGAAAGGTGAGTAAAATAGGCGACCGCTTGACTTCCATAACTTGCAGTAAAGCTTAAAACAATCCGACTATCGCCTTTTTCAGATTACGGCGACTACGTACCGACTCAAATCAACGACCCAGCGGTCTTTGTCCAAGCCGGTGCTGCAGAAGAAGTGGCCGCATTGGTCGGACAGCCCCACCCAACCAGCATGCCCATCGAACTAAACCGACAAGCTTTCGAAACAATCCAAGAAACAGCTAGTGGCAATAACTCCCGAGCTTCCTCCAGGTAATTTGATATCACACTGCAATTATACATTATCTCCTTCAGAACGTCACTGAACAAATTGTGCATCAATGATGATGAGGACAGTTATGCTATGATGGAATCCCGGGAGCGGGAGGTCGAACGAGCAGTGGCGCGATCGCCATTCGCTCCTAGCCCTAGGGAGCGGAGCAATAGCAGAGATCGAGGAGGACATCATGCGAGAACCCCGATTTCTGATGATAATGATGTAGGTTCTGGGAACAACACTTTCAGAAGAAGTCCGAAAATTGTTTACAAACCTAGCGGCGTTTCAGGACTACGTCGGCTTCATTGCTAGCTCCCGTAACTCTACAAACGATCCGACCTCGGTAGATGACCATCGACTCACAATCTCCCCAGCTGTCACCCGAGCTTTTGTCGCAAAGCCACAAGGTATCAGATTTTAATAAAGCTTTATCCTCCCTTCTAGGCCAAATGACAGCACCAAGTGATGCTCTCTGCAAGGCCAGCTCGGTGCCTTTGCAGATGAATGAGGGTGTCTCAGCCTCTGGGATTAATTACGCTATGCTACAGGTAACGAATTTCAACGCACGATCCATAAAAATTATATTTTCCAGGTCAACCCTGAAGCAAAATCTCAATCCTGTCAACCGCGACGCTCTCGCTCTCGGAGCGGGGCGAGCCCGACACGTTTCGGCTCTCGTACGTCATCTGCGGTCCCCACCAGCCCGCCTGAAGATAGGCCTGAATATACCATACTTGATCACAGTCAATCCTAAACCATGAACATTCAACACCTGGATTTGGTACATCTAACCATTATGCATAGAAAACCCGGGTATCACTCGAGGCCTGTAAAAGCGAAAACCCGTTGCTACCCATTTTATTGAAACTGTGTTTTTCATTTTTATTTCGTAATTTCTATTTTCTGCCTAGGTGCAGTGCGCGTTAAAAACCCTAGCCTGAAATATACCTGCAAAACCCTAATATAACTAACAAGGGAACCACCTAAGGTCGAGGTGGCGTTTCGTTATGGGACCCAGCCCATTTTGTGCAGAATTTTTCGCTGATTCCGAATCCGCTGCTCATTTTTGCCAAATAGCTCGTTTTAAAAAAGTTATAGCGCTTCAAAGTTCCATTTTTTTCCAAATTTGTCAACTTCAAAGCCATTTATTTTGCACTTCCCGGATGATTCATCGAAAACGAATATCGCCATCATATTTAGAAAATCTTTCTCTATCGAATGAGCTCTTTAACTCAAAATTGTTGGAAATCGAAAAAATCGACGATACTTGGTATGGACTTCGTTTTTTGTATGGGAAATGGTGAAAAACAGGCTATTTCACACTCCCATAAGTGATCATCGATAGGCAGTAGCGCAATAATGAAATATACCATTCGAATCAGAAAAAAAATTCTCTACAATATAGGCTATTTAAAATGGATTGGCATATTAAAACAAAAATGTTGTGCAGCGTGACAGATGACCGCCCGCGGGCTCAAATATGATCTTAAAATCGCCGTAACTTTTTAAATCGGGCTATTTGGCAAAAATTGAAAGCGGGTTCGGAATCAGCAAAAAATTCTGCACAAAATGGGGTGGGTCCCATAACGAAACGCCACCTCGACCTTAGGTGGTTCCCTTGTAAGCCACAAGGCTTGTAATCTACACTTTCAGCTTTTCCATTTTTTGCACGACTTTTTATTGACGCTCAACAATTGTTTCCGCGGTGAAACAATTTTCATTTTCTGGTTGTGATTTCATACGGATGCCCCGCGCCTGCTTCCTCCAAATATACCATCCCACTTTCAAACACATCGATTTCCCCTCCCTACTTTCCGCCTCCTCGATTCGACAACGCGAATAGTCTGTGAACAACCTGTTTCGTCCATATCATCCTGATTTTGTCGTTTATTTTGATGTTTCCTACAAACTGACCATCTTTCACAACTCGTCCTTCCAATTTCCCGGCGATCGTTGGCACTATTAATCTTTTTTGATGGATTTAAAATGCCGACCGATCCCGTTCACCTATGATGCTCAATATTGTTTTTTTGCGGTTTATATTGCTTGCATGGATTCAACAGTCATGACATTGGATTAAATATTTTACTTTCGAGTTTGATTTATCAGCTACAAAACACAAAAACTACGGTATACTATAAAAATTTACATTTATAAATCACATTACATAGATATTAACATTTAAATTACATATCTATCAGATTTACATATATCCTATCCTATAAGCGAGAAAAGTATGTGTGTTTTCTGTACAGCCGATTTCTCGGCGGTCTGGCCGAATTTCCGGCTGATTTTTGGCATGGACTTGGCGAAACACATTTGTCAGTGATGCATTTTTTTGTTTTGCGAAATTTCTTCATTTAACGATTTTACAACAAAAATAGTGAAAAATCCTTAACACTTTGCCCAAAAAAAGGTATGTCCGGAAGTTTTCTCGGCCGCCAAGAGGAGTTGGGCTCTGATTTTTGGCGGGTGAGTGGTAAAAGCAATTCTCCCGATACTATTTTTTGGATTTTGCCAAATTCCTTAAAATAAAATTTTTAGGAGCATTTTACTAGAAGGTCCTTAATAAAATGGCCACAGTCCCGTGGTGTCCGGGCCATAACTCGAAGCCCAGATCGAATTTTGGTCTGTAATTTGGTCCACTTATGTATTCGATAGTGGGGATCACGCGCATCTTATTATTTTTACAAATTTTCGGCGCATTTAGATTCAAAAAGAGAATTTTGTAAAGTTACAAGAAGTCCCCCTTCACGGGATGGCCCGCCCCCAAGACACAAGAGGCCTTACCCGCCACCTGTCGCCATCTCCCCCGTGGTGTAGTGGATAGGCGTCCGGCCTACCAAGCGCGTGGTCTGGGTTCGAGTCCACGCCGAAGTTAAGTTTTTGCTTTTTGGCAGTTCAACAACAAAACATATTTCTATGGTCTCGGTGTGCGAGTTTTAGGCCTGGCCCTCGCTCTAGCGCCGCAGGCCAAAGAAAAGAAATTTGACCCAGGCTCTGGCGCCGCAGGCCAATCCTGGAAAAAACCCAGTAACTAGCGCCGCAGGCTCAAACATTATAGCGGAATCCTGGCTCTGGCGCCGCAGGCCAAAGAAAAGCTCCTTGACTTACGCTTTCGCGCCGCAGGCTGAATCCGGGCGAAAAATCAGTAGCTAGCGCCGCAGGCAACAGTTTCTAGCGCGAAGCTGGCTCTGGCGGCGCAGGCCAACGAATGGTTCCTTGAGTCAGGCTCTTGCACCGTCCGGCTACAATAAAAGGAAAGGGAATTCATGATACCTAGACGTGGTCCAGTGGAAAAGGGCCGCGAAGCGGTCATTTTCCACTGGTACATATATGAATAAATAAGCTTAAATTTCGGATTAGAATAATCTTTAGCAAATCAAATTTGCATGTCAGGCAATCTACATTATAGTTTTGCTGCGACGTTCCTGTATATAATTATATAAAGTTAAGTTTTAGATTAGAATAATCTTTAGCAAACCAAATTTGCATGTTGGTCAATTTGGATGTGATTTTCACTGCGAATTTGAGGCCGATCTGGATAGTGTTCGTAAAATATAGGAGAATTTGAAACAGCGTTAAGCATAACAAAATTAGCATAATTGCATCCGATTCACAGAAAAAGCGCTCATAGTCATTGCTCTTTGTCTTCCCGCCCGACTCGGCTGTGCCGGCGAAGAAGCTTGAGTGTGGTCGACGAAAAAAAAATCGACTGGTATGTTACCTCACTTTCGTTTCCTTTTACATCAGAGTTATCGTAGCACTCACAGTTCTGGAATGTTAGCAGGGGGCACCGCATTTTCCTTTGATTCCCTGCGACCCCATAGCAAAATATAAACCCTTTTTATAGCGTTTTATCTAATTTTAAATAACAAAACACCAGACAAAATTTCAAAATAATGAAAATTTTCCAAATCTTTTGTTTTTTTTGACCAAAAATGTATCAACGATAACCAAAAAATGTCAACATTTTTGAAAATATTTTTTATAACTTTCTAGCAATCCAAACTTACTACAAACACTATAAAAATACAGGCTAAACTCCACATAACCCCCCAGCCGACCCCCACCTACCGTATCTCGGCTCCCCGTTCATCGACAGGTGTGTAAAGTATACCAAAATACTCGCCACAGCAAAACGAACATTTTGGTATACTTTATACGCCTGTAGATGATCAGGGAGCCGAGATACAAAAGTTGGGTGCCGGCTGGGGGGGGTATCTGGAGTCTTACCAAAATACATAACATATTATCAAGGTGTAGTGGTGGAAAAATAAAAAGCTTTTTTCCCCTGATAAAATCCCCCTCCGCTAACAGTCCAGAACCGCACTGCCTTTCAAAAAAGCAGTTTCTCTTTCCAGGCGGCCACGGGGAAGAGCGAGAAGTTGGTGGACGTTCAGTCACCAACTGCTCGAGAACACGGACGAAACGTTCTGCATGGACAACGGGGGTAAGTTGGTTGCATTCTTTGCTCTCCTAAGACTTTAAGATAAATATAAACCCTTAGGGGATGCTATGCTCCTATTTTAATATAATGTTATTTTTAGGCGCCTCTCCGCCGCCCCCCGCGTCCCAGCCCCACAGCCCCCCAGCCGCAGCCCGCCCACCCGGCTGGTTTGTAAATATCACCGTTATCTTCAATTTTTTTCTATAAGCCTAGAAATGTCGAATAAATTCATAGGAAGTATTTTAGTGATCTTTTTAGTAAAATAAATATACATTCAAATTAGAAAAACCACGTTAAAACGGCAAAATCTTTCCAAATGGTCGGAATTTTGGTAAAAAAACGGTCGTTTTTGGTCGTAAAATCGATAGTTTTTATTTTAAACATTTCGATATATTTTATTTCTTTGTTTTTATGGCTTAGGAATTGCAAAAACACTTTTGAAACAGGTACTTCCAAAAAAGTAGCTTCTCTTTCCAGGGGCGGTTGCGGGGCAGGTAGCTGGTGGACGTTCGGTCACCAGCTGCTCGAGAATACCGACGAAACCTTCTGTATGGACAACGGGGGTATGTTTGTTGTCTGGTTTGGGATGCTATGCTCCTATTTTAATTAATCGTTAAATTTTAGGCGCCCCTCCGCCGCCCCCCGCGTCCCAGCCCCACAGCCCCCCAGCCGCCGCCCGCCCGCCCGGCCGGTTTGTAAATATTGTCGCTATCTTGAAAAATTTTTCTACAATCCTAGAAATGTCGAATAACTGAATAGGAAATATCTTGATCATGTTTTTAATAAAGTAAATCCCATTCTAAATAAATTTCAAAGCTATCAAATCATTCAAAAAAAGTCGAAATTTCGGTCAAACCACTGCCATTTTTTGTCGAAAAATCGATATTTTACATTTTTTAATTTGTAAAACTTATTTTATTATTTTTTTATTCGATATATTTTATTTCTTTGTTTTTTGGCTTAGGAATAGCAAAACACTTTTGAAACAGGTACTTCCAAAAAAGTAGCTTCTCTTTCCAGTGGCGGTTGCGGGGAGGCAGCTGGTGGACGGTCAATCACCAGCTGCTGGAAAATACGGACGAAACGTTCTGTATGGACAACGGGGGTAAGCTTGTTGCATTCTTTGCTCTCATAAGACGTTAAAGTAAATATAAACCCGTAAGGGATGCTATCCATCTACTTTAATTAATAGTCACATTTCAGGCGCACCTCCGCCGCCCCCCGCGTCCCAGCCCCACAGCCCCCCAGCCGCCGCCCGCCCGCCCGGCTGGTTTGTAAATATCGCCATTATCTTCAAGTTT